AAATCAAACTTACTTACTTACTTACTTATTTAGAGTATTTGTATGCCGTCCCATCGCATAGCCTCGGGACAGCTTATGTAAAATAAAATAAAACACAATACACATAAAATCCAGATCCACCCTGGCTGCAGATTAAAACCTATATAGCGGATGACAAACGTTATTAAAATATTGTTGAAATAAAAAGGTCTTAGCCTGGCGTCGAAAAACAAATAACGACGGCACCAGGTGGACCTCTCTGGGGAGCGTATTCCATAGTCGGGGTGCCACCGCAGAGAAGGCGCTCCTCCGGGTACTTTGCCTCCTAATGTCTTTCACAGAGGGTTCCCGGAGGAGGGCCTCTGCTGCCGATCTCAGGGGGCGGGAGGGCAAATACAGAAGAAGGTGTTCCTTTAGGTTTCCAGGTCCCAAGCCGTTAAGGGCTTTATAGGTAATAACCAGCAAAAACTTGATGAATTTTGCTGATGTCGGATTTGAATTCTGAACTGGGCACCCAGTCCATTAGGTCTAGTCTTGTACACGAAGCACCTTGCCTCTACCTTAACAACGGTTTGATCTTCTGCCATTCCCAATACTAGCCTAGAATTCTGAGCACTACAAGAAACACGGCATGATGCAGTTCGTATTAGCCAGAATTCGCCCAGTCTGCTTCTCCCAGAACTCAATGCAATCTGCATTCAAACTGTGCACCTTTCTGAGCTAATGATGGAATTATCTAGCCAAGCCACAAATGCTACACTTTTCATTCAGAACTCTTTGCAAGCCCTTGTACCAAATCCACACACTTATGCTTAGTTGATAGTTGAGTGGCCATCTTGGCTCCTATGGAATGGATCATTCCATGGCCCTCAAACCAAAAATGATCACCTAGTAATCATAATGATGTTACAATGCTATCTAGTCATTCACTATGTGACTGATACCACTAAAGGCCAATGAAACCTTATAGAACATGGGCAACACTTATACTGGTCACATGAGTGATCCTAGCCAATCAGATAACTTTAACAACACAATCCTTACTTCTGCCAACTCAGAACTAAGTTCTATGGACTTCAGTGGGTTATATTTCCAGGAAGTGTGTATAGGACTGTGACTTACGAGCCACCTTTTTGTAATGACCCTGCAATGCTGAATGGAAGGGAGATTTTTATTTTAATTCTTAAAGGTCCTACACAAAAACCCCATTCCCTCTGCCTCTGCACCAATGTGATTATGTAAAGATCATACTTTCCGCAAGAGGCTCAAAGTAAATACATGAGAATTTTAGCCAAAACTTTGTTGACGTTGCCAGTGCAGTCAGTACTTTGGTGAACTCTTAGTCTGAAAAAGGCCAAAGCCAAAGCAGGACAATTGACAAAATAATTGGCAGGAGTCACTTTAACATCCAAGATCCATGTTCCACAAAAGAGTTGACCGAAAGAAAAAAGTCGCTGTCTGTTTGCGTGCCCTTAACATAACAAAATGTATGAATTGTGCATCATTCAGGGTCCTACACTAGAAGAACGCCTCCCAAAGAGCAACACTATGCACTGCAGAAAAGGTTCTCTTATTAGTCCTGCCAGATCCATCCAAACGTCCTGTTGCATTTTTGCAGCTACTTTGGTGACCATGTTTGTGCCTCTGTTAAATTTGTCCTCAATTATCCTAGCCAATCTGGGGCCACATACACCGAAATAACTATTTTATCTTCTGAAAAGAGCTGGATCCATGCACATTAGCCTGTAATACCTAGCTGAAGAAATGTGGGAAATATAGCAGCAACTTGCCATAGCACCGGAATGTACCTGGGGTCTCTCCTGGAAAAGGAAGGAAAGAAAAATCAGGAAGGCTGCCTTGCAAAAGCCTCTGAATGGGCCTAATACTCTTTATTACAAGCACTAATCCTTCAAATCCGACTTGAAATAATGTTTATCTTTTCACAGCTTAATTTCTTTGCCTCTAAGCGGCAGGTCACTCCACCAGCTTGTGCTGCTTCTTCCTTGATCTCCTGGGCTTACCCAAGAAGGATGCAAGGAAAAGACCAGATGACAGCCAGACTCGAAAATACCAGAAATGCCTTTATATGTGGAAGGTCCAAGGTATGGATCCAGGAAGTACTGAATATAAATTAGTGTGCACATAAATTAGTCTACAAGAGACCTCATTGTATCAGAGGGTGTTCATGGGACAGTCGCTCTTATAAACACCCATGTTTTGCTCTCGGGTAGAACTGCCTGCGTAAATGCCTGCATATTCAGCACCCAGTTCTACCTTGCAGGACCAGTGAACCGCCTCCACTGAAAGGGTGGTGATTGAGGTGATGCTGGATGTTGCTATGGAAGCTCTGCTGGTGGCAATGGATAATCCATGATGGCAGCTCCACCCTTGCAAACTCTCTGTAATTAGTGCTTCAGGTGCTTCCTGGCAAGCATGAGCTGAGCTATTCACAGACCAAGCATTTCCAAGGGTTGGTATCTATTTATGGACTCTGTAACACACAGAGGGAGCAGTAGAAACGATGCATTAAACAACCCAAACCCTTTAGAAAATCATATGGAGAAAGCAACCAAGTAAAAAATACATGAATGCACACACACACACACACACACACACAGAGGATCCACACCTGATGTAGAGTCCATTTTCAGGTTGCTCCTGGCTGTGTGTTTCTGGCTAATGTCAACAACGCAGCAGCGCCTGTAAGTCAGGGACCCCACTAGCTTGGAATCTTCATACTTTCATATCTGGTTATACTTTCTACATTTGGATGGCTATGCAGGAACAGTTGCCCAGACATAGGTGCTGCACTTAATTGTATGGAGCACCCATACATGGCCAGCTCCTTGTTTATTTATTAGATTTATACCCCACTTTTCCTTACAATAAAATCGATTCTCCTCCTGCTGCTCTCCCTCTTATCCTCGCCATAGCAACATCCCTGGGACATGGTTGGGCTGAGAGTCTGGATCACCCAGTTGCCTCCATGGCCAAGCAGGGACTAGAACCCGGGTCACCCGACTCGCAGACCCACACTCTTAGCCACTATGCCACACGGGCTCTCACATGTAGGCTCCTTGTTCTCATATGTAGATGCCGCTTTGCAAAGTGTGAATGTCCAAGAATCTGGAGGAACATTTTGCTTACACCGTTCCCATCTGCTCTGCTTCCTCATGATGTTGAGGGAGGAAGCAACTGCTGGGAGCTTGGGTAAGGTTTCAGTGCAAGAGCTCATGGGATGTCACAGAAGTCATGAGAGTTTTGCAACATTGGACAGAATGTACAAAATGGTATCAGGGCATCCCTCTGAAGCTACAAAACCCAAAGGAGATAGAAGAGAATGGTGAGAATGGCACCGTTAGAGAGAGTGAGTGAAAAAGGCAGAGCAGCCCAAACAAGGGGGGAAAGTGTCTAGGTTGACATCGTCAATTTCATATCATCCCAACCAAAATGCTTTTCAGTGGAGACTGTTCACCCGTTCAGTTGTGCGCCATCTGGAATAAACTCATCCAAGGTCGAATAACTTGTGTATTGTGTGCATGTATGACACAATCAGCCTCTAATAGTTTGATTTATCTGAACGGAAGACCTGGCTGCCAACTCTGAGGACCAGGCTGCTATTGCCCCTTCGTTGCCTCCAATCAGCTCATCAATCCCTGCTCAATACCCAGATCGATTCCCCTGATTTATGGAAGCAGAATCCATGGGGCTGTATTGATCACAAGTGATTTACTGTAAAATGTTGACCCCAGTGAACTTGGGGAGAGGCTGGTATTGGGTTGATCTATAGATGACCTCTTAATTAGCACAGCGATTAAATTATGGGCCGGGATGGTAGTCATGTGGGGAACAAAGCCACATTCTTTCCTTGGCCTCAGCTTGGGTTATTAGTCTGTGAAGAAAGTGTTTGGTGACACTTTTAATTAAAGCCCAAGAATACCGAAGGGTGTGCGCCTTTCTGTCAAATCTTTGTCAAGGGCAGTGTTGCTCTTTTAACTGAATTAGAATGATGACCCATTAACAATGGCCTACTTTGCCCATCCCGGAATGTAGTTATTCTCTCCCGGAAGGAAGTGTTATGGCCCCTCTCAACAGGTCAGGCAGACTGAAAGGAAGGGGAGTTCTCATGCTCAGTCCTAAGCCCAAATTCCAGGACCAACCAAGATCAGCCATCTGCGGAGGACCACATAGTCTGGCGAAACTCACAGTCCAGTCCAGAGAGGTTGTGGGGATGAAGCTTGCTCTCGCGCGCGCGCGCGCGCTCTCTCTCTCTCTCTCTCTCTCTCTCTTTCTCTCTCTCTCACACACACACTCTTCTGCCCTTCAAGTTCAACACTTCTGTTTCACAATGCTCATTTGAATATTTTAATTAGAGTTTTTTAAAAATACTTTACATTATATCTTTGTACAAGGACAGAAAATAAACAAACCTGTATTTGCACTATTAAAGAATCCTCTTCAGCATACCAGACAACATGGCTGACAAACACATTTCATTTAAAAATCGCAAATTAGAAGCAAAAGGGTAACAAAAAAGAGTGGTAGGGGAGTGTTTTTGTTTTTGCAAGGATAACAACTGGTCCGCAGAAAATAACCCCTTGTACCCTACACAGATATTTTGAGAAGGAAGGAAGGAAGGAAGGAAGGAAGGAAGGAAGGAAGGAAGGAAGGAAGGAGAGTCCTTTCCATAACCACACTGAAAGTTTGCATTGTACATAGGACATGATCAGTCTACAACAGAGGCCATCTCTTCCCAGAAGTTCAGAAATCATTTGTTGAACCTTCCTAGGATCAAAGGAGTTCAGCTAAACTGGGTGTCCAAGCCCAGCACCTGGAACATGTTCAAATAATATAGCATAGAGAAGTCTGCACACTTGCTTTCCTCTTGGGGTGCAACAGTCTTCATGGAAGTTGTGCATATATAAGAATATATCTTCTCTTTAACCACCTTGAGAAGCTGTAGCTGCAGATCATGCTTCTAAGAGTGCAGAGACAGAAACACACACAGAGAAAGAGAGAATTCACACTGGGCATGAGGGCTGCTGTTCCTGGAAAGCCTTCAAGTTTTGGACCTTCTTGAGATGTTTCACTAACACACTGGGCTCAATGAGCCTATAAGAAAGGAAAGTAACAAAAAGCAACAACAAAAGAAACTTTCATTAGGACCTTTCATAGTAGTGGATGGGATTTATAAAATCAACATTATCAACTGCTCAGAAAGAAACTTACCTTGAGGGTAGGGGTGGGAGTATATTATCAGAGTAATTACAACATAAAAACATACATTTGTTAACCTGTTCTCTTGTATCCTCAAAGGTTAATGCAAATAGAGGTTAATGCTGACTTTAATAATTAAATGAAGACTATCTTAGGCATGCCTGTATTAACCAAATCTTAGTCTGCTGATTGTGCGCGTGTGTGTGTGCACGCACACACACGTGTGCAGATTTATATGGGAGGCTGGTAGGTACAAATGGTTTGACTATGTTGAGAGAAGAAAAAGCAAGTGTTAAATTGCAGATGTGGGACCCCCAGAAAATCATTCTCTACTTTTGAACTTACTGATCAAGTTTACATATAAGAAGAAGCCCGATTTCCTCACAAGCCCTCTGACTGCAGCTGCAGTTTAGAACTGCTGCAGAAGTGAACCATGGCTTGTTTTTGCATGTGAACCCAGCAAGGGTAGGTCGTTGTGGTGGTTAACCTGAAATCCTGAAAGACAGGATGAGCTCTGAGTGGCTTGTTAACCACGCCAACAACCCATCCTCACCATGTCTGCACATAAGAGCAAGTTAAAACACACCCTCCATGTGGATCAAATATTTTAAAGAGTTGCTACCAAAGCAATGAGAAGCTGTATGGGAAATTCGCCTTCTTATAACTTGCAAATTGGGCCTGTATCAAACATGCCCGCTGAACCTGGAGGTGTTGCCAGACAACCTGGCTTGCGACTGGAAATGGTCAGAGGTGGCATCCAACCACATTCTAGACCCAAATGTCTAGACATCTGTTAGCAACTCACCTTTCTCACCTCTTTAGGACTGGTCTGAATGCTGTCCTCAGTTTGTCTTTGTGCTGTCCAAGACAAACTTCACTCAGATCTAGAGAGCCTTGAGTAGTTTTCATGCTTCTCCCAAAGCCTGTTTTAGCAAGAGAGAAACAGAACTAGATTTAGCTGTAACAAAAGAGAAGCATAACCTGATCAGGGTCAGCAGGCATGTTTTCCTCAAAATATTGATGGAGAATACCAAATATTAAACATCAGATTAGATTCAAAAGTGCCTCTTAGCTGTGATCCCTTGTTGGACTTTCATGTTTTCCTTGACACGGATCTCTTCGGCTGCATGCAATCCTGTACCCACTCACCTGCTTGGAAGCCCCATTGAAGCCAAGGCATTTACATCTGGGTAGAAATGCATAGGATGCAGTAATATTGTTGCTGGATTTTGTTTTGCTTGGCTTTTTCCTTGACGGTGTTCTAGTTTTGTTTCAACTGTGAATTATGCATTGCATTTCAATACATTGGACGCCACTCCAAGAGGATGTTTACCTTGAAGTTTCCCACAACTGGTTAATACAAATAAAAGTGTGGAACTGCTTTGAATGTCAATTGTGCATGTGTTTAACAGATTAAGAAATTTGCAACAGCTACCAGAGAGAGAGAGAAAGCATATTTAGAGACAACTTCTCCTTGCAGGTGTCATTTGTGTGTGTCCGTGCAAATGCACACATCTGCAAGTCTTCTTTCAGACCTACTTTCCATTTGTCTGAAAGAAGAATTAACATTTGGACCCTGGGTCCTTTCTTTCCATTCCCCAACAGCCATGGAGCCAATACGGTGACTTTGGGACCCTCTCTGATGCTTGGCCCAACCTACCTTTCAGGGTTGTTGTTGTTGTTGTTGTTGTTATTGTTATTATTAGAACATTTCTATGTTGTGGAGATAAAGTTGACAGCAAGAGCAGGAGAATTATGTAAGCTGCTTTGAGTTTTTTGTGAGAAGAAAGGCGTGATATACATCTAATAAATGTATGACTAGGTGGGATATAAATAACTAGATAAATATGCATAACTAAATAAATATGCACCCAGCCAAAGTATTCTATACTGTTTAGTGGCCATTCCATATGCAACGGTATTCATTCATTTCTATACTGCCCAAAAGCCAGAACTCTCTGGCAGTTTATACAGTCCATTAAAAAAGATGATAAAAATAAAAATATCACAAAATCAGAAAAATATTAAAAAGTTTAAAGCTGCTAAAACAAAGAATAAAGGCAAAGAATAACATCAAAAAGAGTGACTCTGCAAAACACACAGTGATCCTTCTCAAGTCCCTGGTTGGCTGAGTCTTTAAAAGCCACAGGAAATGGGCCATCTTCTCTGGCACTGAAAAGATGGCAGATTCTGTCTCAGCCAGACCACAGGGGGAGCTGATTCCATGGATGGGAGCCACCACAGAGAAAGCCATCTCCCTTGTTGCCACCTCTCACACTGCCTTTGGAGTCGGCCTTCAGTGGGTCCCAGAGGTTGAGCGTAGGGTCTGGGTGGATCATGGCTGGAAGAGGCACGCTAATGTGCATTGTGGTCCTAAACCATGAAAGCTGTTAGAGGTTAGAGCCAGCACTTTGAACTGGGATGCAAGTGGGCTGGATTTACCCTTCCCTGTGCAGATCTCCATGTCCTGGTTATTAATCCACTGGCTCCCCATTGAAGTCCGGGCCCAATTCAAGGTGCTGGTTATCACCTACAAAGCCCTGAACGGCTTGGGAACTGGTTACCTAGAGGAGCGCTTGTGTCCATATATGCCCTCCCACCCCTTGAGATCAGTGGCAGAGGCACTTCTCCGGAAACCCTCCGTGAAAAATATTAGGAGGGTGAGTAACCGGAAGAGGGCCTTCTCTGTGGTGGCGCCCAACTTATGGAACGCGCTTCCCAGAGAGGTCCGCCTGGCACCGTCGTTTCAGTGCCAGGCCAGGACCATTTTATTTAAATGTTATTTTAATTGTTAATGTTATTTATTGATTTTATTGACTTTAAAATTTCGCCAGGATGTCTCCACTATTTTATGCATTTGTATAATGGGATTTATTTATGATTGGAAGCTGCCCCGAGGCTTATGCGAAGGGGGTGGCATATAAGTTGTCTAAATAAGTAAGTAAATAAATAATCTGGCTGCCACATTCTGCCCCAGCTGCAGCTGCTGAACCTTCTTCAAGGGCAGCCAATGTAGAGGACATTGCAATAATCCAGTTCAGAGATCACCAGAGCATCGACTACCAAAGTCAGGCAGTCCCCATCCAGAGAAGGACATAGCTGGGCCACCCACTGAAGCTGGTAGAAGGTGCTCCAAGCCCCCGTGCCACCCAAGACTCGAATGAGAAAGATGGATCAGGCAACACCTCCAAGCTACAAAGCTGCTCCTTCCAGTGGAGTGCAACACCAGCTAGATCCGATCAGACTTTTCCAGTCAACGGACCCCCCACCAGCAGCATCTCAGTCTTGTTTGGACTGAGTTTCAATTTGTTAGCCCCCATCCAGTCCATTCTCATAGCCAGACACTGCTTTAGCACACCCATATCTCAACCTGCTGACAACGAAAAGGCGTGTATCATCAGCACACCAATGGCAGCATACTCCAAAACTCCAGATGACCCTGCTCAGCACAAATATCTATGGGAACGACATTTCTCTTCCCAGCCTGCCTGCCATGAGAGCCATCAGATGACAAACTCTTGGTGCAATCCATTTGGGATCCAAACAGATTCTATGGAACTCCTAGACTGTTGATTTCAGATGGGCACCAATGTTATTTCCTTTTCAGGCAGGATTGGAATCAAATAAAAGACACATTTATGAGGATGTTTGGTCCTATATAGTCCATCAGTACAATGATGCTTTGCTCCAGCTCAAGGAACCCAAGTCTTTTTGGGTCCGTGCACACATTTGTAAATTGGAGAGTCTTGTGGACCTTTGCACCAAAATGCTGCCCGGATGGTCCATTCATAACATGAGATAACAGATCCTGGCCAGTCACAGAACACACATTTCCCAGAAGACAAAGCAGTGAAATTGAAAGGAAAGTCCCTGCCCAAGAATGCAAGTAAAGGCGGAGGTGTGATCTGAACTCCAAAATGCAAAAGCCAAAACAGAAACAAAACTCCAAACTGCAAAAACGAAATGAACCAAACCGAACTGAAACGAAACGAAAAAGCAAAACAACTTCTCTTTGGAGTGAACCAGCTTCTCCATTAAATATTGATCAGGATGGACTGAGAAATAAAATTAAGAGAGGCAATGAACAAGAACATCTTGAGAATGGTCAGTTTACAACCCATGGTCACCATATTGGAACCAGCCATCAAGGAAAGAAGTGTTAACATTCTTATATATGTAAGAACTCCAAAGAAGCAAGTGAATGACTGAATTTAGTAGGTGTTGAATAATGCCCTCAGTGGCACAACACAGTGCTATTCTATTCCTCCCCTGCCCCAGTTCTTCCCACCGTACTTCCTTCATGAGGGCCTGCACAAGTTTCTGTCTACCCATTTTATTCTTATAACAATCCAGCTTGCCTGGGGAGGTTCCCCACCTACAATGCCTAAACGGGACCTCAGTCTGATGAGTTCACTGGGACATGCAAGCCTTTTGACTTGCTTCATTCACAGGTCTCAGAAATTGATTTTAAACTGATATGAATTTAAGGGAGATAAAGATCACTACTACAAGCCCAGATTGAAGGCCCATCTGCTTGCGAATAGAGTTAGATGGATTCTGAGAGTGAGATGGATTAATTAAATCAAGGAAGGCACAGCCTTGAGTTTACAAAAGCTGAGCAGGACTTCAAAGACAGATCATTTGCAGAGGGGTGCAGTCATTCACAGGCCCACCATAACTCGGACACAGCTTAACAGTGCATCACAACAACTATTTACAAATAAAGTTAGAATTCAGGTGTACCCAAAACTACTCCAAGGGGAACAGTCATTTCTATTGATATTGCTGTATTGAAGGATTTTTGTTTTGGGGAATGGGAGGTGAAGATCAACAAAAAATGGGAAAGAAAGACATTAGGTGGGGAAATTGTATGAATATGGGGGGGGGGGGGTCAGAGAATGGCAGAGAATTGAATGCTCTTGGACAGCATTGGTGGAATTTCTGACTGTTCCTTTGACCAGAATGAGTAGTGCATCTGATCGGGGGAAGAAGGGAAAGTCAAGGTGGATATCTACCTTCAGTTCCTGCTGCATATTGACAGGTGTCCCCCAGCATAGGGTATGAAGCATAGTTTAGTGAAATAGACTGCAGGTTGAAGGTAGAGTTCTTAAAGATCTTGGTTTGCTGGGCCAGCTCCTCCAAGGTCTTGTCATGCATGGGTTGAGTCCGCACAAGACTGCCCGAGGGCCTCCCCTCGCCGCATTGTCCGCCACCACCAGGGGGCCTCCCCCTGAGCACCAAACAGTCAGGGCTGTCCGTCCGTTGAGCAGGATGGGTGGTGGGCCCCACAATCACATTGGCCCCTGCTGTATGGGCTAACGACCAGATCCTGGGCTTCTCCGGGACTTCATAGCATAGGCCTTGAGTTCCAAGGTTGCCCACCAGTGTGCTCCCCTTGTGGCCAAAGAGGTCCCCTGCGACGGCCGAGTCACCCTTGGCACAGGGGAAGGCATGGAAATGGCTGAGCGGGGTCAGGGTGCAGCGGCTCTTCTGGGACTCGGCCAAGGTGCCCCCGATGATCAGGCCTTCTTGGAGGAGATGCTTTGGCTCCACTTCCCTCTTCATCTCTGGCTCCTCCTCCTCTAGGTCCTCCAGATCACTCAGCCGTAACTCCTTTTCCTCCTTGCAGCTTTTGTGGTCTGCATTGTGGATTAAAATCAGGAGCAGGGAAAGAAAGGTGGGTGTAGAGAGGCAAGACAACAAGCAACTTCACTTATCGGCTACTCCTTATGACACAAGATAGAACAGCATAAACCATCTTGGTTCCTCAGAAGAGGAAAAGGCAGAACTTCATAATTAATAAGCACAATGCTTCCACTCCCTGGCCTCATATATGCAAATTAGGGCAAAAAAAAAAAGCCTTATCACAAGAAGAGGAAAAATAAGAACATTAAAGACTGAAATGGCTCCATCTCTGGAAGGACTAAATGTTTCCCATATCCTCAATGCCCTAAAAATACACCAAATACTCAAGAGTATTTTATACTAATTGGGAAGGGCAAGATTATGATCCCTGCTTTACAGAAGCTTCATCAGCCATCACATGTTCATGAATCTCCACGTTCAGCTGGAGGTTCAGGTCTCTAATTCTGGAACAAACCCATGGGAGAAAGGTCACCTGCAAAAGTCACCTTGCATAAGTGCTTAGGAACGTTCTTAAACATGCACGTGTACTTATCTGAGAGGGTGTTTCTAAACCCTGTTTGTGGGTCTCTGGGAAACATCTGGCTGACCTGATTTTGAGAGCAGTGTGCTGGACAGTCTTGCAGTCAGATCCAGGTCGACTCTGCATAGGTATCCTTTTTTCCTGGAAATTAGTTGCCCATTATTCAAACAATGGTCTTTCTGTTCCAACCCTACCTTTGTCTTCGTTTTCACTGCCACAATCTTCTTCGTTCCTTCTACTGTCGTCTCTCCTCTCTTCTCCTACTTTGTTTTTGGGAGACCAGGTCATCTTGTTCTCCTTCTTGAGCCGCCGCCGGGCGTTGGCGAACCAGGTGGAGACCTGCGTGAGGGTCATCTTGGTGATGATGGCCAGCATGATCTTCTCGCCCTTGGTCGGGTACGGGTTCTTGCGGTGCTCATACAGCCACGTCTTCAGGGTGCTGGTGGTCTCCCGGGTAGCATTCTTGCGCCTGGCTGAGCTGCTGAAGTCCACCGTTCCATACCTGGCCAGGGTCATACAGAGGAACTGTGAAGAGAACTTGGGCAGGGAGGGCTGGAAGCTATGGAGCTCTGCAGATGGTTCTGCAATCTCAGAATGAATCGGTCGTCTCTGTAACTAGGGGACTATGCAATAAAGACCCTGGCTGGCGAGGAGAGGCAGGATTGGTGCCACGTGTAGGCATCCTTGAGCCCCCCCTCCAGCAGGCGTGCATAGTCCCAAGTCCCTTGGCTTGCTCTTCTGCTTCCCCACTGAGACCTGATAGTTCACTACCTATTGTTTTGACCCCCAGGGTGGAAGGTGGGTTTTAGGACCTGGACTTGTGCTGATCCCACTCTAGAGTAACAAACTAGGGTTGGGGCCTTGCTGCTTAGGCACACATTGAAATCCCTGTCTGTTTTGGTCTCCATCTCCATCATCTCCATCATCTCCACCTCCATCTCTTTCTTCAACCCTATCTTCTTTCTGATATGTTTTATTTGGGACTCTCCCATTTCCTTATGTATTACAATTCTACTTACCTCCTGCTTTTTTTCCCCTTCAAGGAACCCAGGGCACCTCCCTGAAGCCTCCTCTCCATTTTATCCTCACAACAACCTTAGGAGGCAGACTGGCCAGAAAGTCAGTGACTCGTGAAAAGCCACCGGTTGCACTTGGTGGATAAACCTGGGCTAGATCCAGCACTCTTACTACTAGACCACGCTGGCTCACTTGGATTGGGTCCTTCCTTCAGTGCACTGCAGGCATGTCTAGCACTGCAGTCCCTCTGGCTGACTCTCCTGCAGAGCTAGAGAGATTCGCCAGATTGCCTGGCCTTAAAACACGCCAAGGGCCACGAGCGACCAGCAGGGCAGGATGAAGACTGCTGGGGAGCTGAAGTGCTTGGCTCACCTGCTCAAAGTGCCAGTTACCTGTCGTACTGGTACTGCCCAAAGGAATGCTCATAGGTGTAGTAAGCAGTCGCTCCAGGCTGCGCGATCCCTGCGTGCAAAGCGGAGGAGCTATCCTTCATCTCATACTGAGGATTCTATAAAAGAGAGGAAAAGCAATTTCAGGTTCTGAAACACCCTCCCTGCTCCCCAGTCTGCTCATTCGGGACAGCAGGAATCCCAACTAAGCATGAGCAACAGCTGTGTGGAACGACCTTTTACTCTGGAGTAATTCCATTTACATTTGGAAGCATGAACGGGGTCCAGACTGCCCTCTGTGGTATGCTTTTCTGGGACCAAGTCCTAGTGAGAATTACTTTGGAGTAAGTACAGATAGGCTTGTACCATGGCTGGCCACAAGTTCCTGAGACCTGTGTCCTCACCTGGACACCAGCAAAGATTTTTTCTTTTAAATTACAGGACTTGTCTCCACTCCTTTCACACATGCACAGTTCTCGTGTTAGCTGCCAGTTCCACAATGCAGTCCTAAGCCTACAATCTGAGAAACACTTCAGGGAATCAGACTCCCTGAATGCGTCTGTACTTTCCTCCAAGTAAACAAACACAGGCCTGCATTGCTAAAATCTTTCCCATCTTATGTGCCAAGTGTCACTCAGTTCCCTGGCTGTACTCCAGCCTGCTGGTGCATTTGATTGTGTGTGTGTTTGTGTAAAATCTGAGTGTTTGGACACAGAGCTGGTGCTGCAGCACAGGGCGTGTTCTATTTCGAATGAGTTTTCCCTGAGTTTTGGAAACTCCCTGCATCTTGATAGATCCAAGAGAAGAGTTGAAATACTAGTTAGATGTAGCCCAACTACCTTGAATCCGGGACTCTGTAAGCACATGTAGAATTTTGCTCTGCATACCTGAGCAACCAGGCTGGCTTTAAAAGGGGGGTGGAGAGTCTGCTAGAGGGGAGGTAGGCTAGCCATGGGCTTTTAGCCATAGCCTAGCCCCAAAAGCATGCCTAAGGGCACCAGTTCCTGAATGCTGCATCCTAAGAACTGACCCAACAGGGATCTTATGTTCTTAGTGAGCTTCTCTCCCCTTTCCCCCTTCCTTCCCTTCACCCCCTTTCCCTTGCTGCTAGAATATACATGGTAAGCGATTTGGGAGCAGCAATCAGGCTGAGATTTTTGCAGTATAACTATTGATAGTATTGTAAGTCCAGAGGGCAGGGATGGGGTTACACAGGTCTGATATACCTCAGGATGGAACCCATGTTTACCCTTCACTGGGAAATGGTTCCCATGAAACTCAACGGCATCTCCTTCTGGGCGGACTTGAGTCGATTCGAGCAGGAAGAATGGCTAACTTGGGTGTTTCATTTGCAGCCTCCCAAGGAAATCCCACATCATGCCCTGGAGCTTACTTCTAGGTAAACCTGGATAGGATTGGAGCCATGAACCTGGATTCTGTGTGTATGCTAGGAGAAAAGTTCTACAGAGTTCAGCAAGGCAGACCCCTCACACGCACATACTCAGACACGCAAGATCCCTGAGTAAAACTGCACAGCTGCCTCCTTGCCCGTCCAGGATCAAAAGAAGCATCTGCAAGTTCAACCCAGAGTATAATGCGTGGGATTGGCTCCTGAGTCCCTAATCCCAAACAGGTTTACTCAGAAGTGGGTCAGAAGTGGGTCCTATGGATTCCAGCAGGATTTTCTGCAGTGCAAGTGTGCTCCAAGCAGTTAAGGATGGGCTGCAGGAGGGAAAAGAGACAGATTTTACTTCCCAGCCTGACTTGCAATCCTATGCAATTTCCTCAGATAATTCTCTCCCGAATTCAGTGGGATTCACTTCTGAGTAAGCACAGGAAGTTTTCTTTTAAGCAAATCAAACCATGGCCCAGTCAATAGGGAGTGGGAACTGCTCTCCAGGGATGGGCAGGAATTTTTCCAGTCCTGCTTGGAGATGCTGAAGCCAAAGATGTGGGGTTCCCCTCAATTTTCTATGCCCCCCTTTCCTTTAACCTCCAAATACATCTTTAAAATGCATTTTTATATTTTAAGGGTCTGCAAACCGGCTGAACCATCTGCCCTCACCCCCAGTTCCTCTGGCCCAAGAACATTTGTGTGAGCTGCTGGCCTGGACATTTTAAATGCAGCTGGACCCATCTTCCTGCACATACCTTAGCACTGTCCTACCCCCATGCTCCTGAGGTGCCTTGCATGCATTTGTCACAAATATTTATTAATTTCATTTCTCTGTCCTCCACAAGCAGAAGCTCCCTGGGTGGTTTATACAGCCCATCCATTCAGATGATAAAAGACACAGTAAAACATCACAAATCAGGAAAAATATTTAAAAATTTAAAACAACCAAATAACAAGGAATAACAAAAAAAGAGAGACTTTAAGAAACACCTGGCAAGTCCTGTCAAAGGAGAAGCTTAACCTGGCTACAAAAGCATGCGGATTCAGTCCCTGCCAGGCTTCAGTGGAGAGGTTGCACCATGGATGGGGCCACCACTGAAAAAGCCCTCCCCTCGTTGCCACCCTCCTCGCTGCCCTTGGTGTTGGCACCCAGAGGAAGGCCAGAAGGCTGAGCAAAGCATCTGGATGCACCTACACGCTGCGTTATCTTTGGTACCCAGTGAGCGCAAAGATGCTCTCGAGGTCTGAGCATCCCCGCGCCAACAGGACTAGCGCCCGGCTCATCCAGCGTGGGAACCGAGTCACTCACCAGCGAGCCATAAAGAGCCGAAGTCTCCGCGCCGTACGGGAGGTAATTGGCGTAGCCCTGGCCGGCCGCGGCGGCTGCGTAGGGAGAGCTGTACATGCCCAAGGCCGCATTCAGATCCGTCCTGGAGGTCGCCAAGAGCCGGTTCTCGTAGGAGGGGCAGCAAAGCGTGGCCGTCTGAGAAGATCCCGAGGAGGCGTCCGACACGGATCGGGACCCGGAGTCGCAGCGAGTGGCGCCGGGGCTGGCTGAGACGAAAAACTGGGTTTAAGGAGAGAAAAGTGAGAGGGTGAGCGCGCGGGGAGAGGAGCGAGCGCGCGCGCGCGCGCGGTGCGGGGGCCGCGCGTCGCTTGGAAAGCCCATGCGGGGCGGGGGCGGGGGGGGCAGGGTCCTGAGCCCCCAAACCGGTGCAGCGCGCCTGCCAGGAAACCTGCTTGCTGAAACCTGGCTGGCCGAAGGAGCTAAATTCAGCGGAGGCTGGGAGGAAATGGAGAGCAGGAGCGGCCGAAGGAAGCGAGCATCCCTCGGACGCGGCGAAGGAGAGCGAAGCCCGCATCCCCGACCGACCCAAGCCCAGATTTACCCCAGAACTCCCATCACGGATGCCAAGGAGGGCGGGAGAAGAGACGCAATTGCCCACCCTGACAATCCAAAGGAAAATCTTAGAAGACCCCGCCACCTCCTTAAATTGTCGGGGGGGGGGTGTTGCAGGTGTAGTATTATATTAAAGCTTCCTGTTTCATTCACGGGGGCGGGAGGTTACACGGAGGAAGTAGCCAAGTGAAATGGCATCAGACAGGCGATGACAAACGAAGCACAGTTCTCTTTCTAAAAGTCCAGAAGCGAACTAGGAATCGGCTTTTAAAAAGGAGGCAAACATATAAGAAAGATGTGTTCATTTACCCATTATTCCAGGTGCGTTAATAATCTCACCGGGAAACAAATAAGGGCTCGGGAATTAAACAGCAGTCCAAGAATCTTGCCTAAGCATATCTGATCAACTGCGTAAATGTATTATTTACTATATTTGCAGTAAATCTCGCTCCCATTTCCCTTCTCTTTCTTTCTCTCTCACACACACGTGTTCGAGAATTCAATAACTTTGATGAAACAGAACGCAATGGGAGAAAATGTTTACTCAGAAGTAAATGCCGTTTTAGGCTGGCATATCCTGCCCGGAAATGTGTGCCCATCGCTTTAGGTTATTGCTTCGCAACCTTAGCAATAAAGTCGTTCGGCAGAAATCAATGATGTGCAAACGCTTTGGTGTTGCTGATAAAAGTTTAGGTTCCAGTCGTCCCGATGAAGCGCCCTAGGGTCAGCTCAGAAGGCAGGGAAGGGGGTACAAAACTGATCTCCCCAAGTCGTGCTTTCCAGACCAACCCTCTTCCTGAAGAACCCCACTCTAAGGACTGCCAGCCCAAGGACACCCCCTGCATTTGGAAATCAAGAACAGATTTGCAGATGAGATGAACGTCAGGATTGCTTTCACGTGCCCTCCTTGCACACGCAGGAACGAGTGACTTGCTTCGCCTGCAGTCCAGTCACTGGTGGGGTGAGAGATGGAATTAGGGGCTGAAGGACTTTCCTGGGAGCCCGTCCCGTTCGCATCAGCGGGATTCACTTCGAAACCTACCTGGGCGAGACCCCGTCCACGGTGCGCGAGCATTCGGGTTCATTCAGAAGCGCAACGCTCCGGAGAGGAGAGCGCGACGCAGCTTCTCCTCCAGTCATTTACACACAAACAAGCAAACAGCCCGCGAACCAAGAAACGCGAACGGAGCTTTGAGAAAAGGAGACGGAACACACCTGCACTCGAAGGACACGCCACATGCCGCCCCCCCCCAGCTCTCCACTCCCCCAAAAGTGAAGGACTTACCTGAGAAGACGTGCTGTAAGGATAGCCGAGCTGCGAAAAAGACATAGCTGCTTTCCAATTTTTCGTTTGTTTTGCTAGGCTGGATTTTATTTTATTTTATTTGCGGGGGGGGTGTTCTTGGAATAGAGGTTTGGTGACCCCCTCCCCTCCCAAATCCTGTGTCCCTGAGTCTTCACCCCCTCCTTCCAACGTCCTCACACCCCATCTGCCCTCTCCCTCTTGATGGCCATTAATTATTGTTGCTGTTCTTAATTATGTCTCCTCTTCCCCCCCCTCCCCCATCCCACCAGCCTCAGTGATACAGGATCGCAAGCGGTCATCTGCGATAAGAGGCTTACCGCTCGGACCGGAGGCCCCCCCCGTCCCCACCCCCTCCTCCGCCTCATCCTGACGTTCCTGGAAAAGAATAGTGCAAATTGGGGATCATTTTTGGATGGCCAAGGAGAAAAAGGATCCGTGGGAATGTGTGTGCCCCCAAAAGAACATGAGTTTCGCCGGGAAGGCAAGGAGAGGGGTTGTTGGAAAGAAATTGGTGATGGAGGGGTGATCGTGATGGGGGGGGGCGGAGACGTCAAGGCCGGCGAGCTCTCGAGGAGTGGGCTTGCTCGCTTTTGCCTCTGCGCTCGGGTCCTCGAGCGCGATCTGAGCAGGAGTGACGTCAGCAGTAATCCCGAAATCTTTGCCAATCATCTCGGAAGATCTTTAAGATGCGCCCGACAACACTTGTTTCGCCTTGGCTTTAATGTGGCGTTCCGGGGCGCCAAAGGCAAGGCTGCTGCCCTCCCTGACGCAGCTGAGCTCGTGGGGGGCGGAGGAGGAAGGGTTAAAGCCGGCTTTCCCCTTTCTCCCCCACCACCACCACCTGAAATGTGTGCTTGCTTGCTTGCTTCTCTCTCTCAACCCCCCCCCCACATTAACCCCATCCAAAACTGCAGTCGAGAAAACAAGGGGCATGATTACCCCCCCCCGCCCGCTTACTGCACGACTCCCAAAACAAGGCCACCGCCTAAATGCAAAGGGACACTCCACCCCCTTTCCTTCTCCCTCGTCTCAGCCCGTCTTTCCTCCTTTTTCAATCGTCCCCCACTTCTGTTTGCCTTAACCAACCCAATTGCCCATGAGGAATGAGGGATCTGGAGAAAATGGGGGTTGGCCGCCTGCAGCCACCACCCACCCAAATATGGCACCTTCCCTGGGAGCAAGGGACATCTCAGACCTCTTTAGGGTGCCTACACGCGCGCCCGTATTCAGACGTGATTGCCCTGGAGTACGTCCTCACCATTGCCCTCAGTAAGATTTGCGTCCTCACCATTGCACTCAGTAAGATTTGCTTCTGATTAAATGCGGATTGGATGGTGGTCTTCATCTTTTCTCCTCCTCACTTTCTCTCCATTCAGAATAAACTGCATGGATTTTACCAGGGCGTGAAGACACTTCTTCCCCAACACGGTCAACTCCAAAGCTTCACGGCCCAGTACAGAGGGGTGCAGAATCTATTCCAGTTCACTCTCAGAGGGACAGGTAGCTAGCCACAAAATGATGACAGGCCCGGGCGCTTGTCCCTGCTGGACACTGCAAAAGTGGCAGAATCAAATGAAGGAGCCGGGTGGCAAGGGAAGGAAGACGCATGAAGAAGGGCCTTTAGTTGTAACCATCCCTCTTATATTTTCCTTTGCGTATAAATATAGATTGCAAACTACCTGGGTCAGAAACCTTGCGTTGTCATCTGCGACTCAGCAATCATTATGATTGCTAAAAGTCAGTGCTTCTGCCTCCTACCTCCTTAACTCTTCTCTATCCATCACAACAAAGAGCACAAATAATGAAGGTACAAATCAATTTTGTAGCACCTGCATCTCCAAGAGCTTTAATTCTGTGGCTACAGGCAGGCAGGTGTTGGCTTGCCTTTCAATATGGATCTGGATATTTTTCTTCCCATCCCTACAACCCCACGACCTGCCTCCAGTAGCAGTCGCACTTTATGATCTTCTGAACGGACATATCTACCGCTCTAGATATGCAGTAAGGGCTGAAGGCATTCTCCATGCAGGTCTGGGGCTGGCCTGAGCTAGGAAGGGAGACCACTGGGAGCCGCTTGGAGCTTCACCATGGGAGAAAGGTGAGACATAAAGAAATCAATAACGTAGATGGCACTTATTTTAAGGCAGGGTGTTGCTCGAAAAGACATTCTCTCTCTGATGCTGTTGGGGGTGCAAGGCATTTTCACAGACACATGTGTCCCCGGAATGAATTTTTCTTCTGCAGAAAAGAAGGAAAAGCCCTGGGTGTTTATGAACTGAACGTCACTGTTGGAAGATCCCACAGAGAGGACTGCTCGGATGTTAGTCGCTTGCAGCACACCAAGCGTCCTGCAACAGCATAAAATGCACAGGGATGAGTGGACGATGAGCCATGTTGTTCAGGACGTGTCTGCTCAGAAGTAAGCCCCTTGTTGATCAAGCGGACTTACTCCTAAGGAAACACGTTCAGGACTTCAGCCTAAGACACTAGAATTCTGGTCACGCTGCTGTGGGGAAAAGATCTCTCCTGAACCAGAGCAAGGCTCCCTGGTGAACTACAACGCATAGGATCCAGCTTTCTTTGTGTGTGCTTGACTGTGTGCATTGGGGCTCCTGATACCCCCCCCGCAAAGTTGATTAATCTTGTCTGCTTTAAAATGTGAGTTGATTCATTCATAGATGTGTGCATTTGAGTATTAGTAAAGCAATACCAGTGGGTAGAGATGTGACAAAAACCTGCTTTGTTTTTGAGACAATGCATGACAGGGACATTGTCACGGAAGTCGCATTTCTCTCTGTCTCTCACACGGAAAGGCAGGAAGTCTCTAAGATGGGCGGCTGCCTTGTTTGTTTGTTTTGCATTTTGAAGAATTTGCATTCAGTATGATTAAAGTTTTCTGCCTGATTGATTGGAACATCTTTGCACTTGGTTCAAATACACAGAGATTCTCTTTCTCGCGCGCGCACACACGCGCGTGCGCGCCATATAAACAGAGTGTGCTTTAAGGTGCCACAGGACTCTTCGTTGATTAAAGGGATGGAAAATGGGTGTTTCTTAGTGTAACCTTCCCCAAGGAAGGCGCAGAAGGGTGTGGGGGGGTGTCCGTGCATTGCAGCAAAATCAAAAAGAAAAATTATTATGTGGCATAAATATGGATCAATGCCTCCTTCACCAGGGGCACAGGGAGTGTTCCCTTAGACTGACACATGTGTGCGCCTGCACACACACACAGGTGCGCATGGGAGATCAGAAGCAAGTTGAGCTGAGCAGGACTTAGTCTCAGTTAAGGGTGCGTAGGATTGCCCTCTCATCTGTTCTAGCCCCGCGCACATTTGGACGCGCGCGCGCGCGCACACACACACACACACACACACACACACACACACACAGAGGTACCCTGTCCGGGGAAAGCAGAGAGAATGAAATGCTCACAGGAGACCATCAAGGAAGAGAGCAGGGATAAAACACCTCCGAGAAGCAAGGAGACAGTCCCGCGGAGGGGGGGGGGGCTGGCTGTCCAGCTGTTAGCCCCCAATTCAGATCAACCCTATCACGTCTGGAGGTCCACTTGTTCCACACCCTGCCCCAGACTTCTGCCTGCCTGCCTGCCTGCCTGCCTCACTCTGCCAGCCACATCTGGATCAGCGGTTTCCTTCCTTCCCTGAGTCTATCTGCAATTCTGCATCCGTGGTCCAGTGACCCCCCTCCCCGCCTCAGTTCTCCCGCCGTCCAATAAAGGAAGGCCTTAATCAGAATCCGGAGAAATGGACCCAATAGACAGAAAATTGCGAGGGTGGGTGGGAGGGAGGGGGAGAGAGGGGGGACACTGACAGATCAATGGTAAGATGATTGATGGCTGCCTGGAGACCAGCCTGCCCATTAGCACTGGTGCGTAATTGCCTCAATTAACAAATGGAAGGCCCTCGTTTAACCAGTCAGCTTAACACGCTTACTTGCCATCTCTGTAAGAGCTGGCACGGAAAGGGTCTCCCTCTCGCTCGCTCTTTCTCTCTCTGTATACTTCTGCAGATGAAAGCAAGCAGGAGCTTTTCCGGAGGTACATGTGATAAAAGACTCAAGACCTAGTTCTGGATTGTCTGTGTGCTCTTTTCCTGACTCTAGGAGAAAAAAAGCATCAGTTACTCTCGACTCTCTTGCTTTTGGAGTCCGTGAGAGAAACACAGCGCTTCTTCCCGAGTCTCTCTCTTTGCAAATTCGGAACAGGTTGCACGTGTACACACGCACACACGAGTTATTCCGGAGTCTCTCTTCCTAGGCGGGCATGTCCAAACGCAAATCAGGAGTTCTTTCCGCCTATTGCTGGGACTGCGTTCCCACGTCCAGGGCGACCGGCGCTTTCCGGCGCAAGCTCTTCCTCCCGGTGCGCGCACGGAAACCAACACCAAGAATGTCGCCCGACTAAGTGATGTCAGGCACAGTAACAAACCGTCAACCGTCGCTCCCTTCGCCGCAACGGATCAAGGCCTGCTTTTGTTCTTTCGTTTGGTTTGTCCTGACTTTTTTCCTCTCTGACATCCTCATCTTCAGACCCCGCATCCCCAGTGCCTGATCTGTGACACTTCAAATGCCCGCAGCAAAGCTGGCGCACACGCGCATACAATCGCGTGCACACACACGCACTCGGCTCGCTAGCAGCTCAGTTGGAGTGGGCGGCTTTTGGTGCTGGGCCTTGGCTTTATCCTCCCCTGTAGCTCCGCGGAGAAGGAGAACCAAGAGAAAAGCTTGGGCGAAGGGTGTGCGAGCGGGACAATCTTTTCTGTTGCCTGCTCGGAAGCGATGGAGGCGCAAAATGCTAACCATAAAAAGGGGTGGGGGGGGGGAGAAAAAAAATCCGGGAAAGAAGTGCAGTTGCCCAGTCCCTCTAAGGGTGGCGCTAGAGAGCCGCGAGAGAAGCCGTATCTCTGATCAAGTCTGGATCCAGATTAGAAGAGGGGGAAGCTAGGAAGCCTTCGTCCTTCTTCAGCTAGCCAAAATAGCGGAATAAGAAGGCTGCTTCTGCAGGGGATGCAATACTCTCAATTGCAAAATCTCTCTGCTCCCATATTCTCTCGGTGCTTTGCACATTCCCCTGAAAACTTTGTGAACTCTGGGCTGGGACCCTTTCCGGATCTGTCCTTCTCCCTATTGCATGGGGGGAAATTCTTCCTTCAATCCCTGGCCTGTTTTACCTTTCCCAGAAAGCATATTCTTCTGTTGCAGATGGATGTGGCAGTAATGTTAAATATGCCTGCAATGTTGCATGTACTAATCGGGTTAACTGGTATTTTTAGCAACTGCTTTTGCAGAGAGGGAACATGAATTTTCCTAGCTGTATGCCGACAGGCGTCTTCGCCATTGAGTTTGCGGGGCAGGCTTGTTCTACAAAAGGTTTCTCCAGCTGGGGTCAGAACTTGCAACAGCCTCAGCCTGGCAGGAGATGGCAAGAGCTGTCATTTAGCACAGCTGGCAGGGAGAAGGCTACTCCCGGGGCTGGAAGTGGGCCCTGCGTTCTACCGTTTGCTGCTTCCCTCTGCCCCCCGTGATTAATTGCATGCTGCCCACAAGTGGAATGGAGGCAAGACCTCCCCATAAAAGCTAAACCCTTAGGGTGTAACATGATGCATGCTTAGCCTGAAAAATGGCCCATGTCTCTTCACATTCCACAACCT